CCGGAACCACTGAGCTAAATCCCCAGCCTACAGTATTTTTTTATTTTTTTGGTACTGGGGATCGAACTTGGGTCCTCGTACTTGCGTAGCAGGCTGCGAAACCACTGAGCTAAATCCCCAGCCCCCTACAGTATTTTTTTAAAAAGTGGAAATATACAACTGATTTAGGAAACAAATACTATGCCTAATATACAGTGTGACTTTTAGAAATAGCAAAGTATTGTATATATGTTCTATTGAATTATTAACTGTCTAGTCTCCATGACTTGGAAATATGGAATGTATATTATTGTTCTGTAATTTTCAGTTGGCTCTTTGTTTATAAATATCTTTAGTCACTATAATTATAAAGTATGCCATTTGGTTTATTTTTTTCTAGCCACAAGGAATTGTGGAAATGTACCACTCCCATGCTTCCTAAGCCCAAAGTGGCTTTTCTGATCTTGATAATGACTACTGTGATCTGTGGGATTTTTTTCCTCCTATTTTTGATGCCCCTATTAAGATAGAAATATACAAAGGTCAATGTTATATTTTGCTAATATCCTTAAAATTTTTTATTTTTCCTTTTCACTCAAGTACATCATTGAAAGAAATTAACTTTCCCTTTAATTCAGTGAAATTCTTCTCTTTCCCTCTGTCATATATTTTTTTGTTGTTGTTCAGTAAAGTTTATTCAGTACCTAACTGTCCAGGCATTAAGATAGAGGACAAGGTAGGCTCAATTATGCCTTCATGAAATATGCATCCTAGTGCGGGAGACAGAAAACATAAAGAAATAAGATCATTTTAGATTTTTTTGGGGGGGTACCAGGGATTGAACTTGGACCTTGTGCTTGCGAGGCAGGCAGTGGAACCACTGAGCTAAATCCCAGGCACAGATCATTTTAGATATTGTTAAATAAGGGAATGGTTAGGACGTGTGGCTGTAACACAATATGGAGTTGGGTAAGATTACAGCTGGAGGAATGTAAATGTTTGAGTATTTATCAAAATGTTGAATATTTAAAAGCTGTCAAGCTGTAATTTGGTCCCACCTAAATTCCTCTGCTGCAAGTTGAGTTCCCAGAAGTCTCTACCTGTGAGACCCTGAGACTAAAGTCTCAGAGCATACAGCCTTCTCATCTGCTAGTCTGAGTGGTAGCATGGATTTGCTGGGGCAGGCCAGGGATGATTGGGTATTGCCTGGATCCATCCAAAACAGCGCTCAAACTAATCCCACCAAGTTTCCATGAATCTGTTTATAGAGAAGTTTACCTCTCCAGCTTCTGGCTTTTCCAACTCAAGACTTCCAGGAAGTTGTAAGCCGTTTCTCAAATTGCATTACCCAAGAAGAGAGAGGGCATGCCAGGAAACCTAACTTGCTTAAGCAATCACTTTGTTGATATTTGACAGTGATGGTGAACCTTTGAGAGAAGAGTTCCCCAACTCAGGGCTGGGCCTTGCAGCCGGTAGCAGCAGCAGGCTTAGAGATGAGTTCCCCAACTGCTTATTTATCACAAAGTGCCAACACTGCAGTTAAACCTGAATACTGAGGTTTTGGTTTAGAAAAGACAGCTTACACATTAACATCTTTTGTCTTAAAAAGAAAAACAACATGTGTGCCCTAGGTTCGCCACCACTGATAGGATATCCTACTTGATTAGAGTTTTATAGTGACTCTTCATAGGATTTTTCATGGCAGAAGCTCTTGTAAATTTCTCTTTCCCACACATACTGGGGTAAAGTTCTTTATCCTTAAGCCTGTGAGGTTTTGTTCAGCTTAGCACCTTTCCTTTGTAAGCTAAACTTTGAAAAAACCTCCTTACAAGAATGAAAGAGGGGGCTGGGGATGTAGCTCAGTGGCACTGTGCCTGCCTTGCAAGTGCAAGGTCCTGAGTTCAATCCCCAGTACCAGAAAAAAAAAAATAAAAGAGGGAAAATGTTTTAATGCTGGTGGTATGCCTCTCTAAAATGCAGAGCTCTGGTAGAGACTTTCCTTGTTCTTTTCTAAGGGTGATATAGATTGAGTATCCTTTATCTATCATGCTTGGGACCAGAAAGTGTTTTAGATTTTAGGAATATTTCACACCTGATGAGTCTCAAGTCTACACAGAAAATTCATGTATGTTTCATAAATACCTTATACACTTAGCCTGAAGGTAATTTTGAATAGTATTTTTAATATGTGCATAAGATAGTTTTATGGTATGAAATTTTCTACTTGTGGTGTCATGTCAGTACTCAAAAAGTTTTGGATTTGGAGCATTCTAGATATCAGATTTTGGAAATAGCACTCCTCAACCTGCATTAGACTGGGGATAAGAGTGACAGTAGAAGTCTTTTACTTGCCTCATTGAGTTCTCCCTGTCATACTGTCCTGAATCTTTTTATTTTCTCACTCAATTTATTTTAAAATTCATAAACTTATTTAATTTTGAAAACTAAATTAGTATCTCCTGGGATATATATAACTGAAAACTAAGCTCCAAATGAAAATGGATATTTTCTAAAAGTTTTAAAAAAGATTTTAAGTAGCAAAGAATAGTTTTCATATCTCTCCCTCATTTCTACCTAATAGGCAAACTATTTAGACTTGTAGATTTCAGCACTAGCTTAAATGTTATGTTTATTTCTTTACTGCAGATGTGAAAGTTGTGTGGATTTACTGTTTGTGAGAGGAGCCGGAAATTGTCCTGAATGTGGCACTCCACTTAGAAAGAGCAACTTCAGGGTACAGCTCTTTGAGGATCCCACTGTTGACAAAGAAGTGGAGATTCGGAAAAAAGTGTTAAAGATGTAAGTATTTTTGTTTGAATGATTCAGCCAAGAAAGAAGATTTTAACAATTATTTCAGTAATCAGTATCATTTGCTGATATAATTGTAAGCAGATTGGCAAGTGAATAACTATAAATTAATTTATGTACTTAGGCTTTTAGAGAACTGCATAATATTCAAGAGCCTTTTGATCCATGGCTTCACAATTTGTCTATTCATGTGCTGTTTAATCTATAACAAATATCTATTGAATTCCTACTGTGTGTAAGCTCTGTGTTGTGCTCCTTGGGCAGTACATACAAAATCAATGAGTAAAATAGGTATGAACCCTGTTCTCCAGAGACTTACAGTGTAGTCGCATAGGCTAGCAAAAAGATGGAAAATAAAATAGGCAAATAAAACAAATATGCAATTATAAATGGTGAGCACTGCTGTCTAGTTAGTAACTGAGTGTTGATAGAGGTCAGTGAGAGCAGGTGAGGACTGAGGAAGTCACAATTTGAGAGTTGAAGCCTACTTGCAGAATTCATATGTTCACTATAATTTATTTTGGTGTATGTATGTGTATTTTACTCTTAGCAATTTTTGAATTTCATTTCATTTGTCCTCTTATTATAAGCCACTTTATTGTTTTTGAAATTCAGATAATATATTTGTTTAAGGTTATTTTTGTTTGTTTTTGTGCTTTGGATTGAACTCAAAGGCTTTGGCATACTAAGCATGTCCTGTCACTGACCTATACCCCAGCCTATTATTTAAATTCTAACTGTTGGTGGTATGTATTTCAACCCAGGTTACTGATCATTTAGTGATATCTTGTAGGTACCTAACCAATAATACTTTATCAATGCCTTAGCTGTTCTTTTATTGCTTGTATTCTAGGAGTTATTCTTTTACATTATGATCTTTTACTGCTAATCCCTTGCAGTATTCTAATTCTTCATAGGTACGTTACAAGACTTACAGATTTTCCTGATCTAGCATTGTTTAGTCTATCACTCTCATGAAAAATGAAAATTTCTTGAATTTTTAGTTTTATAAAATTAGTGAATCTATTTATAAGAAGTAAACAGTGTCATCATTTCCAATGATTTACCTTGTTTAAGTCCCAATATTTTAAGCTCCTAATTTCTTTTTAAGCCTTACAAGCATTTTACATATAGTAGCATTCTCTCCTGATTCTACTTCTTCTCTGTAGTCATAAGAATTTTAAGAAGAGCATTCTTTGCTGGGAGTCCAAGTGGTAGAGTGCTTACCTAACATAATCAAGATGCTGGATTCAGTCCTCAGCACTGCAGAACACTAGCAGCAGCAGCAGCAGCAGCAGCAGCAACAACAACAACACCCCAATATTCTTGGTGTACTTATAAATCTGGTATCAAGTAAACAATGTTTTATGCAATAAACAGTCTTTCTCTATATTCATATATGAATTAGGTAAGAACAAGAAAACCAGTTAGGTAATATTGAATGCAATCATGTATAACATGTTGATATTTTTCTTCTCTTTAAGATACAATAAAAGGGAAGAAGACTTTCCTAGTCTAAGAGAATATAATGATTTCCTAGAAGAAGTGGAGGAAATTGGTAAGTTTTAAATTTGATGTGCTAGCCATGAGACCTTGTGATTTTATCTCTTAGATGTCTAGGAAAACATCTCATGTAAAAATTTCTTAACATATTTTATTGTGATATCTGATTATATTTTCTTTCTTTCTTTTTTGGGGGGAGGGTACGAGGGATCAAACTTGGGTCCTTAAGCTTGCAGGGCAGGTGGCGGAACCACTGAGCTAAATCCCTGGCCCTGATTATATTTTCTTTTTGCACTTAGCTCATGTTTATCAAATTGAAGACTTGGTTAAGCAAAAGACTTTCTTAAGTAATATTTTATCATAGGAAAAATATAATTAATAGAGGTAATGACACTTTTTAGTTGGAAAGAAAGCTGTATCTGTATGTTTCATCTGTATTTGTTAATATATCTGATTAGGAAAGAATATGCTGATTTTTTATAGGATTTCTATTTATCCATAATGACTAATACCATACGTTGTTTATCATCTGTATGCTTCTGTATATAGAGTTGTTTGAAAATATTTTTGAGTAGTTGACCGTTGAAGTGGCATTCTGTTATTCCATGTTATGGAATCAGAGGTTAGATTAATCTGAGTGCCTTTTTTTCTAATGTGATTAGTCAAAAAGATGCTACATGATGAGTTCAAGGCCAGCCTGAGTTAGAGTGAGACCCTGTCTCAAAAAACTTTAATAAAAAAAAAAAGGATGCTTTTGTCAAAATATTGTTTTCTGTTTTCTTATATGAAATTTCAGAGATGTTAAAAAACTTTGGAAGTTGTTATACATTGACTAAAATATTAAAATGCATTTAAAAAATGTTGCCATAATTACAAAGTGCCAAGTGTGGAAATGACAAAGTTGTAGGCTGGGAAAACTAGAATGAGATGTCAGGACCAGACAGTTATCTCTTTTCTTTTCTTTTCTTTTCTTTTCTTTTCTTTTCTTTTCTTTTCTTTTCTTTTCTTTTGTTTTCTCACACTTGATAGCAAACTGTAATCACAACCTTTTTTAAAAATGTGATTTATTATAAAGTTAATTATTCTTTAGAGTGCTTGCTTTGGCAGCACATATACTAATTATTCTTTAGAAGGTTTATATGGGCAAATTTTTAGAAAATTCAAATTCCTGAGAATTGATATTTTTTTTTTTTTTTGAGACAGGATCTCACTATGTAGTTCAGGCTGGCCTTGAACTCACTGTGTAGTCCAGGCTGGCCTCAAACTCATGGTGATCCTCTTGCTTTAGCCTCCAAAGTGCTAGGATTACAGGTGTGTGTCACCATGCCTGGCTAGGAGTGAGTATTCTAATTCTTTTCTGAGAAAATCTTTTTGTTACAACTGTTATCAAAACATTTCTAAAATGTCTAAGTTCACTTGTTATGTCATAAGCATGTACAGAACATAATTAAGGATTTGTTTCTGGCATTTTTTTAGTGCCTTAGAGTCATTATCTTTTCATTCTAATTGTATTCATTGTACTTTATATATAATCTTAACAACCATGAGTGACTATAGATTTCAGCCGAAAAGATGGTAGCATTGAGAGTGCCAAGGAAAAATAGAAACGTTAAACTGAGGAAAATGAACCAGAAGGAATCTGCATGAACTAGGAAAGAATGTGGCTTATATGTAGATTATTAAGTGTAGGCAAGCAGTTGGATAGCAATCCAGAAGAATCCCAACTAGGGCCAGGGATTTAGCTCAGTGGTGCCGTGCCTGCCTTGCAACTGCAAGGTCCTGAGTTCAATTTCTGGTACAAAAAAAATAAATAAATAAAAGAAACCCAGCTAACATACATTCTGCAGGCAGTGTGACTAGTCAAAATCTGGTCAATAAAGAAAGGGAAAGGAGAATTGTAGGTGTTACAGGGCAAGTTGAATATCTGGTTAGAATTCTATCCAGACAGAATAACTGAAAGAAATTGATGGACAAAGAATGGTGGAAACAGGGATGAACTGAAAAGGGATCTTGATTCTGCAATAAGGTTCTTACTAAACCATGGTTTTAACACGTTCTTGCCAGCTTAAATCACCAGCGGTACATTCATTACTATCCATCAGGTGCCTTGTACCACCGGTGGTACTTACAGATATAATCACTATTGTCAGTGTTTTTACTGATAAAATTAATAAAAAGCCACCTGATGAGACAGTCTTGCTTCTACCACTGGTGGTTCAGGTCACCTGGCAGTGAGACATACAAGTTACGACCTTGTCATGAACATGTTAGAATATTTTTTGCTATGAAATGAATTAGTTTGAAAGTATAGGCAACCTGGGCCCCATAGATAAAACCAGGTGCATGTCCAGAAGTAGAAACTAGGATCAATGGTCAACAGCAACCCTGGATATTAGGGCTATGTAATGTATAATACTTTCTTTACCAGGTGAGAAAACCATGTCTCACAGCATTTATTTTGAAGTTGACTATGCTATTATGTATATTTTATGTATATTATGCCTTCAAAGTATATGGAAACTCTTTTAACCTGCCTCCACTTAATTGTTTCATTTGAGTAACTAACATCCTTTAGTACTTCTTAAAATATGCTGACTGATGCCCAACACACAATGAGTGCATGGCAAATACTATCCATTAGAAGCTATTTTTAAGTACACTTTTGTACTTTTCTCAGCAGTTTGATTATATGATGAGACTTGTTTGTCTTGGCAACCTTCTTATGCCATTTGTACCTGTTATTGTAGTTATGTAACTTAATAATCCAGTGTACAATTTTGGGGGAAATTACAAAACTATGGGATTTTACTTCTCAAGTTCTTTTTTTTTTGTTTTGTTTTGTTTTTGTTACCGGGGATCGAACTCGGGTCCTTGTGGTTGCAGAGCAGGCGGCGAAACCACTGAGCTAAATCCCCGGCCCTACTTCTCAAGTTCTTGATTTACTTAAAAATACGGAAATCAAACATAGTAGATGACACTTATGATTTATATAAAAAAGAAATATAATTCCAATTAAAGACTACACTTTTGGCCATATGTCATTAAATTACAGAATAACAGTATACTGATATGATTTAAAGTATTTAAGGGAAGAATGCATAGGTGTATGTGTTTCCCTCTTTTAATAGGCTTGCCTAAATAATCAGTTACAATTCCTGATCATGCTGGTTAAAGAGTAGTTCCACTGTACTTGGAGGTATGGATGATCTTTGGAACCTAGCCTCATTGATTTGTAGTTTATTTTTGAACTTCAGCTCATTTCAGCAAATATTTTTTGTTTTGTATGAACCACTTTGCTGCTGGAAACATATATTTGTCCTTAGTAAGCTCAGACTTTAAGGGGAATAATTAATATAAACCAATTATAATTTAAAGGGTATTTATAAAATACTGTGGTATTTATAAAATGGTATGGAATATAGATAAAAAGCAATTAATTTAGCATTGGGAAATAGAAGTACTGTTTGGTGAAATTAGAGAAGTATAAACATTTGAGTTTGATCTAAAAACCTGAATAGGAGTTAGCAGAGACTGAGATAGCTGTGGGAGAGGGGAAATGGAGACGGTGGTTCGGGGTTCAGGAGGACGGTTGGGTAGGAGGAATGACTACATGTACTGTTCTATAGCTCGGCAGGGTAACTGTGGTGACTATTAATTGTACATTTTAAAAGAGCCAGTAAAGAGGATTTTGAATGTTCCAAACACAAAGAAATGATAAATATTTGAGTGGATAGATAGCCCAGTTTTCCTGATGTGACTGTTATATACTGTGTAAATATATTGAAATATTACATTGCATCCCATAAATATGCATACCTCTATGTCAGTTAAAAAAATAAAAAGATGAGTAAGAGTTACCAGGTAAAAGGGCAATGGAGAACATTTATAGTGGAGGAAAAAGGGACAGAAATTCAAAGGTGTTAAGCACGTTGAAGGGTGAGCAAGCAATCTGTTATGGGGAGGTAAAACATGGGGAATGACTGAAGATGAGGCTTAAAATCAGATAACTAACTCTGGTACTCTTTTACCCTACCAAGTACCTTCTTAGGCTTAGAGTTAAAAAACAAAACTAAACACAAGCAAACAGAGGTATGAATGAAGCTGAGTTAATTACTTAGCAGTATGAATTTGTGTACATTATTGAAGCTCTCTGTGAGAGTTCTCCAGTGCAAATTAGGCTAAACGTGCCTGTTTCTTAGAGTTGTAGAAATTGTATAAGTAAGCAAGCTGTCTGTCTGTCTGTCTGTCTGTCTGTCTATCTATCTATCTATCTATCTATCTCAGTCTGGTACCCAATAGTTAAACTAATATCTTATACTTTTGATTAACATACAGATGTCACAAACATCTGATTCTGGAACATGGGATGCATGAGGTGCTGTGGAATAGTAAGAAAAAAAGAAAGGTTGGACTTTTTTTTGAAGATGTTAGATAAGTTTGTCCCTGGGAGTACTGAAGATGTTTAAGCCTAGAGTGAGAGGATTAGGGTAAGTGGGGTGGCTCATAGGGTCAGTGTCTGAGGAGGCATAAATTTGGGATAAAGTAATTTTAATTGGAGATAAATTTTATTATGAATCTTGTGACCACAAATACAAAAATTAATTTACAATTCTGAATGGTAGCATAAAATATTTGCACTAGAAGGAGCATACATGAAGATGAACTTTCTTGTGACATTCACAATAGACTTTTCTGTGTTTGTGACAATCTATACATAAAAATTCTTGTTCCTTTTGGCCCCAGGGATTATCTCAAAGTTTTTTCATAGCTTTATAATAAATAGATTATTCTTTTGGTGCAGAGAAAACTAATTTTAAAAGGGTGAGAAAGTCCTCAGGGCCTTAATTTTATATTCTGGATGTCAAAAAGCCTTTAAAATTACACTTAAATAACATCAAATCTTTAAGAAAATATAATAGGGTTTTTGTTCGGCTTTAATACTTGATTAAAGACAGGTCAAATCTGAGCTAATCCAGTAAGCAGATAAAGGGTCAAATGATTATTATAGAAAATTAGCCTCTATTCTTTTTCTTTCAAAGCTATTATACCAACCTA